TCTCTACCTCGGCGAATGTTTCCACCAAAAACTGAGCCGACACCAAATCATCCAATAGTTCCTCAACAAGTCCAGAAAACCAATACTCGAGCTGGAACGCGATCTCCCCCTATCTGGATCAACTGATCAAACCGGCTGCATCTAAAGACTGCCTACGTATCCTCTTGCCCAAGGAATCAAGCCGAACGTAGTTCATAATAATGGCCTCCAAAGGCCTCAGCACTGAAGGATGTTCAAAAGCTTCAAACAATGACCAAATTTCACTCCTGAAACAACTTTGGTCAACATATCTGCAGGGTTGTCATTTGTGTGGACCTTCTCCAATATGACATCTTGATAATCACATTTTATTACAATTTTATACCTTCATTATCTATTTTATACGAATAAATATACCACTAATAATTGTTTTATATTTGAATTGCAGGTTAATGAAGAATAAATCTCGAAGGCCTATCTCTCAACAAAAACTCATTGTTTAAATGAAGAAATGAAGCCATTGGAAAATCAATTTCCAAATTATCCAAAAGCCCAAGCTATGATGAAGGATTAAAGCTCAAGAAATATCAAAGCCCAAAGTCAAATCCAAAATAAAATGCTTGAAGAAATTAAGAAGCCCAAAAAGCCCAAAGATGCCAAGAGCCCAACAACAAAGAGGATCTGCGGACAGCAATGGAGAAGAGGCAGGCATCGATGCCTGCATCGATGGGGGCATCGATGCGGGTATCGATGCCCGTATCGATGCCTGCATCGATACCCCTATCGATGCTGGCATCGATACGCTGGGCGGTTTGTTACAGTTTAATGGCTGAAAATTGTTGGTTTTGGATAAGATTTCGATCCAACGGCTCTCATTCACTGATGTTTACTATAAATAGGGGTAGAGAGTGAGGGGTTAGAGGTGTGAAAATTTTGTAAACTCCTTTTGGAGAGGAGGGCTACTCTTAATTGAGAAGGCCTTCCAAAAATTGTAACTTTAGTTGCAATTAATAAAAATAATTTTTTCCTCTTTAAATTTGTTCTTTCTCCTCTTGTTGAATGATGAGGATGGAGATGAAGAGCAATTTGAAGGTTTGCATTTCTTTTCTCTTTTATTTCTTTTTAGTAATTTCTTTATTATTGCTTATTAGTTAGATTTAAATTCATGCTTGTAGTGTAGATTTAATTTCTTGTCTTTTTATTTCTTTTTGCACTTTAATTTGTAGAGTAGATTTATTTTGGAGGTGACGGCGACCCCCAGTGTGTTGACTCGTTCTGGGCTTCTTCATCGGGCCCAAACGCTCGTGAACTGGAGCTTTGCCTCTCTCGTCGGGAACTGGACCGAGGCGCTCCAAAACTGGCTTCTTCCTTCGGGATGATTCTGCATGATCTCCCGGAGTAGCCATAGGAACTAACGGCGACTTTGGTTGATTCGCCGGAGTTTGACCTTGCTTAGAAGGCTGCACTGGTTACTTTTTGGCCTGAGTCGCTACTTCAGACTTAGGCTTCCAGACTTGGCGGGTTAATGGTGGCTTCTTCGCCTCCTCCTTTTGCAGCTTTCTACGGGCTTCCTGAGCTTGAGCCCGTGCCTGCGCTGACATCGCGCGGCGCTTGCGAATACGCTCTTCAAGTGTCGAACGGTTCCGTTTGACGCGGACGCCGTTCATTGGCGGTTGAGGCTGTTTGCCTCTTCCATTCTTCAGATCCGCGTTGTAGCGGAATCCGTTCGTAGACTCCAACGCCTTAGCGAGTTGCCGCGCAAGGCGTTGACGACGCCTCTGGCGGGCTCTCTTTGAGAGAGTCACAACGATGTTTTATATTTTGTATTATAAATTTTGAGTTTTGTTATTATCAAAAGGGGGAAATTATTAGAAAATTGTCGGGCTAGAACGTTGTTCGTGTAATATTTCTTGTTTGAATAATAACAAACTCTCATTTGCTATTTATATATTTGTGAGATGATATATTTTAGGTATAAATAGGTACGAACAAATTACAATTTAAAATAATAAAAAAATTAAAATGAACGTTAATTTCAGCCTTTGAACCATCAACGGTCATGAGACACCGTCGATGATTAAGTTAAGTCATCGATGTTCGCGGGGAAAACTGTTTTCTTCATTGAAATAATTGTCATCTTGGATTACAAAGATCCGGTCTTTTATAGATCCGGTTACAACTAAATCAAAGAAAAAAAGTAAAAATTACAACTTTCCTTTTGTGAACAAATCGCGAGCTCCTGTTTTGCGGTTGCTCGCTTTGGTGGGTTCTTTGCCAACGCCGGGGTTAATCCGTGGACCACCGCGCGATCTAGATCCGGTCGGATCTACACGATTATACGGGTATTATTCCACGAAGGGAATAATAGCCGGGGAGGATTGATTCACCAAGGAAACAATCGTTCAAATCTCGGGATCTAAGACCAAGCTTAGATCCGGAGTTTGATCACGTGTAGATCTCAGATCTGTTCTTCCTCTCTCTCGAACACCTGCCTTTTGTGACGTTGATGCTCGCCGAGATTCAGATCTGAATGTCCAAGTCTTCAAGTCTTCAAAACTCTAAGCTTGATCTTCAATTCGGCAGAGTTTCGGCTCTTGAAAGTTCGACCTTTGAAAATGAACACCTCTAGGCCTATTTATAGGCTCTCAAGACTGTGCCCGCGCACAGAGAAATGTCAGCCACCCATAGGTGGCCGGCACTGTGCCGAGCCACCTATGGGTGGCTCGGCTTAAGCCGAGCCCCCCTTAGGTGTGGGTTTTCCGAGTTTTTGAGTTGTGTTCGTTTTCCGGTTCTGTCCGTGATTTGGTTGATTGAGACTCTGATTTGTTGATCTGATTTGGCAGTAAGTCTGATTCCTGATTTGGCAGTAAATCCACTTCTGAGTTCGAGTCCGAAACTGATCTTGATTCGATCGTGATTCGTCCGAGTCTGTTCCCGGTTGGATAACTCGTTGATTCTTTAACACTTGGCTTGATTCCGAACGCGTATGGGTGCATTCCGTCGCTTGCGTGCGATTCGTCGATCTCGTCGCCTCGTTGGTTCGTCGGTTTGTGCCGAGCTGTGCTAAGGGACCTATAAGCAGTTTTATATGCCTACAATCGATGGACTACAAGAAAGAATCAGACACACAAAGATTAGACTTTGAACCATCAATAGTCTACAATTTACCATTGATGATCACATGGACCATCAATGACTATAGTCAAAAATCATAGAAATCCAGAAATAAGAATTTGCACAATCGATGAACTTTATTTAACTATTGATGACCATCAATGGACCTTCAATGATCATATCTTACTATCGACAGTTTGGATGTGATTTGGTAGTTTTGGCAGATTTTTAGATTCAATCTCAGTCGTTCTTTGATAGTTTTGGACTTCTATTAGAACTCTGATAAAAGGATATTTTCACTGTGTTTTCAAGACCTATTTAAAGGAAATTGAGAAAGATAATAAACAACAAGAACAACAAGAAAAGAGAAGGTAACTAGGATTTGTGAGAGAGTTTGATTTGAGAATTCAATCCTTGGAGCCTTGTTCAAACTTCTTCTCGTCGCACTCAACATCAGAAGATTGTTTCCATAAGGAGAATGCCCTTTGCTTTTCAAATTCAACATTTTTTCTCCATAGATCTTCATCATCATTGATTTAAAGGGCGGTTTGTTAAAAGGGTTGTAAGATTTTTCAAATTGTGCTTTAATTATTTTTGAGTTGGTTTTATATTTCATACTTGTAAGTTTAACAGGATACTCAAGCCGGGATAATTAAGGGTTGGCATACTCAAGCTAGGTGAATCAACGGTGTCTAGTTAGGGCTAGGTCTCTTCTAGTCATTGTGAGTAGTTAGGTTAGTCGACTGGTTTTGGGTAGATTCCTGGATCCTGTCTGTAAAACCTACCAAACCAGGATGTAACTTGAGAGAACTCCGATCATAGTGAAGAAGGATTTAGATCCGTTCATGTGTTGGTTTGCTTTTAGTTTTTCATATATTATTTTCACTGCATATTTTGAGTTTAGTCAAAAATTTGTAGCAATCTTGTTCACCCTTCTCTAGGCTTACATCCCAGTTCCAACATTAAGAGTCCTCAACAAATTTAATATTCATATTTTCACATTTATCATTGGTCAATTAAAATTTGCAAATAGAAAATAGTGGGAACTACCATTTACTCTCTGGTTTGACAAACGCACCCTAAAAGAAAGTGTTGTGCAGATATCATGATCAATCTATAACATTCAATTAAGATGGTCCTGTATGTCTTTCTAATTTTGGCCATTTTAATCCAACAGGGAGTCAGACATATTATTTTTGAGTTGGTTTTATATTTCATATACTTGTAAGTTTAACAGCATACTCAAGTCAGGATAATTAAGGGTTGGCATATTCAAGCTAGGTGAATCAACGGTGTTTAGCTAGGGCTAGGTCTCTTCTAGTCATCGTGAGGAGTTAGGTTAGTCGACTGGTTTCGAGTAGATTCCTGGGTCCTGTCTGTAAAGCCTAGCAAATCAGGATGTAATTTGAGAGAACTCTGATCATAGAGAAGAAGGATTTAGCTCCGTTCATGTGTTGGTTTTCTTTTAGTTTTTCATATATTATTTCCACTGCATATTTTCACTACAACAAATTGCACTTTTCCCGACGTTTATTCCCGACGCATGGTTAAATACGTCGCCAAAAATTGTGTTTTTCCCGACGCTTTTAGTTAGCGTTGGCAAAAAGTATATTTTTCCCTACGTTTATAATTAGCGTCGCTAAAAGTGTATATTATTAGCGACATTTTAACTTAGCGTCGGTAAAAGTTATGGATTTCCCGACGTTTTTTCATTTTCGTCGGCAAAAGTATAGCTTTTTAGCGACGTTTTAAAATTAGTATCGCTAATAGTATGCATTTATCGCGACGTATTAGGCTAACGTCGCTAAAAGTGTTCTTTTCCCGACGTTTATAATTAGCGTCGCTAAAAGTTATATTTTTAGCGACGATGCTTTATTTATCCTCGTCGCCAAAACCCCACCCCCAAATCCCCGCCCCCCAAATAAAAGGAGGGATAATTCCCCCCTTTTTTATTTTGACGAAGAGCCAAAATCACCCCCAAATTCTCTGAAAGTTCGCCGCTTCGTCGAAGGTCACCGACGCCATCGTCGAAGCTCACCGACGCCATCATCGGAGATCTCCGCCTCCGTCGGATCTCGCCGCCTCCTCCTCCTCCTCCTCCTGCCAAAATCACCCTGGAAGGTACTGAATCTCGCCTAGTAGTTTTCATTTGCTTTCAGTTGTAACCCTAGAAATCGTCCCCTTTGCTTTTCGATCTGACAAGATACATGAATCTTGATTGAATTTCTCCCTTTGGTAATCATGCTTAGATAGGATGGGAAATATTCTTAGATAGGGGGACTTTCAATTGAGCATCACCAGCTTTGGGCCTGCCGGTTGCCAGTTATCGCCTTCGTTATCTTACAGGAAACTTAAGCTCACCTTCCTCACATACTTCGATTCCAGATCAAAAGCCTCCACTTCCTTATATTAGGAAAAGCCTGGAGAGGATGATATCAACTCTGAGCGGATCTCCACTTGAGAAAGTTGTTGGAAGTTCTGAAAGTCTGAAGCCAGAAACTAGGGACAATCTTGTTGGTGAGATGCAGGGACTTCTGATGAAAGTCGATAAGATGCTGACTGGACCAGCCCCAGGTACCTCCGCTTAGTTTAATTTATCAACTTTTATATAATAGATTATGGTTCTTAGTTATGTTAGCGTTAGATTGTTTCTTTTAACTGTTTTAAGAATGTATCTGCTATTTTTATGTTGGTTATCGTCTGAACAATGTTATCATATCAGGGTTGTCTCCTTTGTATGGCAGGATGTATTTGTCGCCGTTTATAATTAGCCAACGTAGGCTTTATTCGCTTTATTTTGGTCACAATGCATAATTTTATTGGGGATTAGGACTTTAGTTTCTTATGATTATTTTTTTAAATAAAAAGGCGAGCAGATTGAAACCATCTAGAGATGCTTGGCTGGGTCGGGTTGATGTTTGTTTATATGAAATGCTTACGTTGATATAGTCAATGTAATTTTCTCCTTGCTTGACATTAATTTATAAAAAGGTTGCAAGACCATTGCTGGAAATTATGGCGGCGAAGGATCATAAAACCTTGGTAATGCTCACAATTTATTCAATTCAAATTGTTAGGCTCCTATGTTATGTTTTTAGTCTCATGTATTGTGATTTTGTATCGAATGTGTTGCTAATTACTTTCCAGTACTTGATTGGCGGTGATATGCTTTTTAAACTATCATATTTGCCTCATGTACTTTGCTAATTTGATTATTCTATCGACTTAATGATATTGCGTCACTACTTAATTGTGTTCCATATTATGTCTAGTTTTATTAATTCTAGCCTTGGCCGTTTGTCTATCTATGGTGTTACTTTTCACGCTATTTATGATTTTGCATATACCGTTTATCTATCAGCTTATGAATTTGTTTTTTTTTCATTTATGTTTTTTGAACTTTATCTCAAATCTTCGTCGTCATGGGAATTATTACCTTACATGTTTTCCCTTTTTTTAACATGTTCACATTTCACATGGATTCATTATCCAATTGATTTAATGTTCTATTTTTTGCACTCTTATCTTTCAACATTGATTTCTCTAGCCACTCTTCATATTTAAAATTGAGTATGGTTCTATATATAGGAGCTTAATTATTGGAGAGAGATGAAGCTTTTTTAATTTATTACAGTCAATTCATAGCTGCAACAACTTGAGAGATGGGTTTTTTTATAGTCATATCATACGTAGCAGCAAGAAGCATCTACTAGTTAGGAAGGAATGTGAAGGCATTTGGACAATCTGGTCCTTATATTTATTCCATATCTTAGCTTCAACAAATATTGTTATCGGGACAAAAATATCCAACGGATATGCAAACAATCGAATACATATATAAACATGCAATAACATGCCATGGTGCATATACATCAAGTCCTTTAGTAGTGCATATGCAACAATCCGTAAGTAATGTAATTGTACAAATTCGTCTTATTTTGATGTAGGAAAGGACTAGCATTGAATATTAGCCTAATTTCCATTTCCAATCATTAATCATGTTCTATAACGCATAAAAAAAATTCGTAATGCTTGTAGATAGATTATTGTGTAGTATTGCATTGTAAACTTTTGCAGTTTAATGTAAGAAAGGAGAAATTTTGAAGATTTGACTAAATTTTCTTTCTCACGATTAGCCATATCCAATAATATCAAGTATCCATGAGAGTGGCTTATGCGTATGGAGTTCAATGTATGTCAATATATGTAACATCAATTTTCGTGTCTGGGTGAATATATAGTTAGTGTCCATTTCCATATTCATCTTCTGTATGGGTAATATTAACTGCTGATTTGCGTTAAATACTTTCATATGCGCATGATGGAAAGATTTAATTGATTGTTCCTATCGATATGTTCAGATGCTTAAAGGTTTTTACATAATATATGATCTGCTATCATGGGGGAAAATCTTATCTGATATCGTGGACCATTCAATGGTCATAGATTTGGTGTAATAAAGGTTATGTTGCATCAAATTTAAGAAATTATTTTTCGTATCAGATCTGACGCTACATTGAATCGAATTGAATCGAATTGTTTGGTGTGTTATGTCAACAGGTTTATAAACATTAATAATGTATTATTATTGGGTAGATCTCAGTACTATTTCATCATTGTTATCTGTTTTGAGGTTAGAAATACTAACCGTTTGTGTTGTTTCTTCGTTATTCTCAAACTATATTGTCAATGTAGTTTTAACAGTGTTCCTGGGTTGTCGATCCCAAGAACCATCCACCGAAGCGTGTCGATCCCAATGATTGGGTATCGATGATCGATGTGTGGCAAACTGAAGAATGGAAGGTATAGATCTCAAATCACTTTATTAAATTGTCATGTTAATTTTGGAATGCTGTGTTGGGATTCCTCAACACCTGATCCTTAACTTATTTTCCAATTAACCCCTTTATCAACCATAATTGTCGGGTAGGGCTGTAAATTAAATTTACAGCATGTACGGAGCATTGGAGGACTCGGAGGAGTATAATATTCAAGAGTTTCAGAACACTGCACGCTAAGGTTCAGAACACTGCACGCTAAGGTTTGCTATTAAATAGAGTCATGCATCTCTCTATCTCAAATCCACTGATTATAGTCTAAAAATTTAGGATGAATAACGGAAATCTAGTCAATTACAAGGATTTAAGATGTGTACTGTCTGAAGCCAAAGAGATCAGTCTCATGAGAAGGAAGATTGAGTCATGAAATTTTTGAGTTTTCAATTGGACTAATTAATTATCTCATCCAAACAATCATAGTTGATTCTACTTTGATGGGATTTGATGTATCAATTTATTTCATGCATGATCTACTCCTGCCTCATTTGCATAACTTAAACTTTTTACTCTCTTTTGAAATTCTTATAGGGATGAAGATCTTCTTTGCCATGGACTTGCATTAAATGATGATTTGCAGCATGTCTTATCCAAAACGATGCTCTTAATGCAGGTGGTGTTGTTCGTATACAGAAAACAAAGTCTCTTCAGGCACTTAATGCAGATATTCCTCCTCTTCATGGACAAGCACTCTGCAAGTCCTATTGCTCAAGGATTCGGGAGGCTTGTTAATCTTTGACGCCATTGGTACCTTCTGTCATCAACTATTTGTAATTAATGATACAAATTTGAGATTGTTGTTTCTAGTTTTCTTGATGTAATTTGTTTTTGAGAGACTTTATGTACTTGGGTATGTAAGAGGAAGTTTGTAAATTAACGCTTTTAGCGCTCAAGGGGAAATGGAAAAATAGACTTTTATGTTGATTTGAATGGGAGCAAATTTTTTGTGGATGTTCAGATTCAGTGTAGGCTTGTATTTGACAGAAAATATATTATTTTTGGCGGTGCAAATTAGTGTCGATAAGCGTCAGTAAAAGTAACACTTTTGTTGACGCTATATTTCTTCGCTAAATGTAACACTTTTGCCGACGAGATATTTTGTCACCAAAAATAATATCTTTTAGCGACGCAATCTTGCGTCGCCAAAGATGTAGTTTTTAGCGACGCTCTATTCTGCGTCGCTAAAAGCTACACTTTTGCCGACGCAATCATGCGTCGCCAAAGATAAGCTTTTTAGCGACGCTACATTATGCGTCGGCAAAAGTATATTTTTGCCGACGCATTGCCCTTTGCCGACGTTAAGTACGTCGCCAAAAGTGCAAGCTTTCCCGACGCTGCCTCACATATGGAAAAAATACTGCATGCTTTTGCCGACGCAAAATGTTATGCGTCGCTAAAAGTTGTACTTTTCCCGACGCATCAAGCGTCGCCAAAAGTGTTGACTTTTGCCGACGCAGTGAGTTTGCGTCGCCAAATATTTTCCTTGACGCACTTTTGGTGACGCGTTAGCGACGTTGCATTTTGCGTCGGGAAAGATTTTTCCCGACGTTTTTTAAACATTTGCCGACGTTTTTCTTTTGTCGGCAATGATGTATTTTGTTGTAGTGTTTGAGTTTAGTCGAAAAATTGTAGCAATCTTGTTCACCCTTCTCTAGGCTTACATCCCAGTTCCAACATTAAGAGTCCTCGACAAATATAATATTCATATTTTTACATTTATCATTGGTCAATTAAAATTTACAAATAGAAAATAGTGGGAACTACCATTTACTCTCTAGTTTGACAAACGCACCCTAAAAGAAAGTATTGTGCAGATATCATGCTCAATCTATAACATTCAATTGAGATGGTCCTGTATGTCTTTCTAATTTTGGCCATTTTAATCCAACAGGGAGTCAGACATATTATCCATTTATTTTTTATTTTCTTGATTTTTAATTCGAAGTTACCCATTTTCTGATCCTATCTGCTATGATGAACCTTACAGTGGATTGAGTGTTTGTGGGTGTGTGTGTATATTTATATGATCTTTTTATTATGTGTTGCATTGAGTGAGCTCTTGAAGATAATTTCAAATCCAGAAACCCCCCCCACCCCCCAAAAAAATAAAAATAAAAATAAAAATAAAAATAAAGACAAGCAAATCTTCCCAATATCCGAAAGAGACTGTAACATGCATTTATCAGTATGCAGACTGGGAGAGAGGGAACACATTAGAGCTTAGGATCCCCCAGGCCCTATCACAGCGTAATTATTCAGACGCTCCTTTTATGAGCTAGAGATGTTTGAATAGTGAAGGCATGCAACAATTGAAGGTGTTGTGTTATTTGGCCTTAGTGCCCATGTGGCCATGTGATAGCTCTAGCTAGCTGCTTATCTAACTAACTAGCTTTCAGTTGTTCGCAAGGGAATGTGGCTTTAAACTCCTTAATGCCCAGATGCATGCTCGTGCTTGTGTTGGTGACTAAGAAATTAGAGGAGTTAGTAAATTATAAGTATGCAATTGGTTATATGCATTAATTATTAATATTTTCAGGATAAGGGTGTGATGTAGGGAGACGACATTGATGAGAAAGGATGGCATCGGCTTGACAAAGCCTGCCATCTTGTTGGGTCATGGGACTACATGCCTCTGCATTATTATTGCAAGGGTTTTACTCGGTCTCAGTTTAGATTTTGGTTTCCCAGCACAGATCACTTCGTCCTACTGGCTCCAAGAGTCACGACTGCTCAGAGAAACGA